AATGCACAGTAATTACACATTGCCCGTAAACTACTACAACACAAGAAGAAAAACAGGAAAAAGTAGGTACCCACTCAAAAAATAGACATCATTGTTCAATTAGGTAAGCATCGCATCCTAATAGGTATTCCAGTGTTGGTTGTAGTTAACTGTTACGTTAGTACGTGACAATAATGAGTCATTTGCGGATCTTTGTTCAAACACTACTAGTTGTTGATAATTTGCAATTATATGATCTCTTTAATTAACGATTTAATTGAGAAAATTGCAAACAGGATTAGATTCGTGTGCGAGTTGTACCAGTCTTTCAGTTTCACCATACTTTATTTATCATAACCCACATATTTATGTTAACCAATTCCAGTTTTAATGGATATTTTATGTAATACCTACATTGAAGGAGTATATGTATTGATTATATGGTCTATAAAAATCTTACACTCCATGGCAATAAATTCCGTTCATATGTAGGTATAATCATGTTTAAATAAAGTATTTAATAACATTTTAAACAATAGTATTATCTTTTATGATTCAAAATTTTCTATTACATCTTCAATAACAGTTATAAAACCCATAATAATGTTCCATACAATTATTAAGAAGAAAGTTTTAGAAGGTACCTACTTCTAATAATAGGGTGGGCCTATAAGTTGGTAGGAAATAAAAATTAAATATATTGTACTGATGCACAAGAAAGGATAAACCTACGGGCTATATACGGGATCTAATCTAGAGCTTATAATATTATGTCATTAGAGGCGCTGTTATCGTCTCCACATTATAATACCTATAGAAATAGGGGCACTTAAGCGAAGGTTGAAACAAGGAGGGGGTATTTGTGTATACAGTTCGTTAAGGCATTTTGGCATGTTACGATATTTTATGGTTTTTGCAAATACTTGATGAGAGCATGTTTAACACAAGAAATTTTGGAATGGAACCAAACAAATTTTTTTCTTTCAAATTTGAACTTTTAACACTGAAATTGCAATAGATGATTAAAAAAATACCATATATACCATAGGACTAAAGCATTGAAAAAAAAATTTTTTATTCAGTGACTAAAGTGTGTCCATCGGGTACTTGTTACCCTCAACTACCCTCGGGATTAAAACACATACTTTAGTCCCTTTGGTATATAATATACAATTTCATGATTTAAATTATTTCTTGTGCGACCTTCGCGCTCCGTGTTTACAATCCAGGGTTTCAAGTGAAAAAAGTTACCTAATCGTTCTTACCTATTAACTGCAATGGAAAAGGGCAAGTTCAATTTGGGGGTGTTCTACATATTATTCAAATCTTCTGATTTACATCATATCATCCCTTAACAAGTTAAAAAGTAATCGTAAACGATTTACATAAAGCGTATTTCCACTTGCATTCATTTCCCATTTGTAAGATGCAACTTGTGTTAAAATCGTAAAAATCCGGCCACAAATATGAAAGATAGCGTTGCACATGGGCAATCCATTGTTGACGTGCTACTTCAATTTCAGTTTATGAGAAGAATTTCATTTCAATGCTTTTCTAAATAAGGAAGTTGGAACTGCGCATGCGCAAACCTAAATTTTAAAACTAATGTTAGATTTTCCTTTGTTCCAAGCGCCTAAGTATCAAATTTCACTTAAATGGTTCCATAGATAAAAAAGTTGGCACTGCTCATGCGCAAAATAAAATTTTGAAACTGGCGCTAGATTTTCCTTTATTCCAAGTGCCTATGTATCACATTTCATTTAAATTCTTCCATAAATAAAAAAAGTTGGCACTGCGCATGCGCAAAACCAAATTTTGAAATTGGCGTTTGATTTTCCTTTATCCCAAGTGCCTATGTATCAAATTTCGTTTAAATTCTTCAATAAATAAAAAAGTTGGCACTGCGCATGCGCAAAACCAAATTTTGAAATTGGCGTTTGATTTTCCTTTATTCGAAGTGCCTATGTATCAAATTTCGTTTAAATTCTTCCATAAATAAAAAAGTTGGCACTGCGCATGCGCAAAACCAAATTTTGAAATTGGCGTTTGATTTTCCTTTATTTCAAGTGCCTATGTATCAAATTTCATTCAAATACTTTTATAAGTAAAAAAGTTTGCAATTCGGTTTATGGTCGAGATGCGAAAAGGGCACTGTGAATTTTGAATCGATTCGATTCAACTTTTGGCATTGCGTATTATATGGCTAAAGCTATGCCCATATTGAATTTAATGCAATTCAGTTCAAAACTAACGGAGATGTAAAAGCGATCGAACATTTCTAAACAAAGTTATCGTTCACACGGACAGATAGATGGACAGACAGACAAAGGAACAGACGGAGAGACCAACCGGCAGGCGACGGATAGCAATGCAAAATTATAAACGATCTCTAGGATCGTTAATAAACGGCAAAAGTGTAAAATTATGGAACATGTAAAAAACGGTTTTTTGTTTTTTTTACAATAACTTTTTTGTAAGCGGTACAGAAAAAAATCCTTCCTTGGTACATAAGACTCGACACCATAACGAACCAAATAGCGAAAAAAGTAGAACAATAGCTCTTAAGATAAAGAACTAGTAGCGTCGCAAAACGAGCGAACGGACGGACGGACGGACAAAGTGGCCACAATAGCGCTTTTTTTTTATTTTTGTGGAAATGCGCTAAAAATTGCTATATAATAAAGGTCCATTTGATAATTCCTTTTATGATGGGCGATCTGGAATTTTTTTTCACCATTTACCGTCCAAATTTTGAAACTATTAACTTTCAAATTGAAATAAGAGCTTGCCAATCTTTTAAAAGTTATAAGAATAATCTAAAATTCCTACCTTGTGCAACACGATGACGCTCTTGAAGCTTACCTAATCAATTTCCGAAAAATTTTAAATACAATGGAGGAATTTCAAAAGAAATTCTGGTCAAAAATATCACTGGCATTTAGAAATGTGTATTAAAGAAATGGATTTTCTGAATTTTAACGGTGTAGGTATTTTTTCAATGATTTCCCCTTGGTTCAATAGTTAAATAGAGAAAAGCAAGAAGGAATTATTTGTACCTATTGTACCTACTGTAAAAATGGTTCATAGAGGGCGTCCTGCAACGACGAGCTGAGTGGATTTATAAACAGGCGGAACGTAGGGGAACGGCGTTCCGGGACCTCTCTTTGAAAAATAAAAATAAATCGGCACTGAGAGAGTTAATGAAATCAGCACTAGAATTTTTGTTAGTGAGTAAATTAGAAATTTGATTACGGATATCAATTATTAAGCCGAAAAAATATTATTAGCACAGATTAAGTAGGAGTTAATAATAAAACATTGTATCTCAAAGCTATCTCGAAGTGTCTACCGTTTTTAGCTGGATCAGGAGCCTCTAACCTTTCCGCCTCCACATGCTTCCTCCTGCCCGTTTGGCCGTGTCGTATTAAGCATTCGCTCGCAGTAGTGGTTTCAGCTTAAATATTTGCAATTTTATACTACCTCTTGTAGTTCGTCGTTTTAAAAGGGATGTTCCAGTTTCGATTTATTATCTAGCTCCTAGCGAGTTCATGATTTTGGACTTTCTGTCCGTTCGTCTGTGGACAAGATAACTCCCGGATCGTTTCGAACTTTCCAATTTGTTTTTCAGAATATTGTTTATCATCACCTAAGGAAGAACTGATTAAATGTTCAGTGACCCAGGAGCTCCTTTGCTATATTTGTTACAAGTTTATTAACGAGCGACAAAAGCGAGTTTATTATTTTGGATTTTTTGTCCGTCCGTCTGTGGACACGATAACTCACTAATGGTTTCGCATTTTCTAATTCTGCTCAGCAATAGGTAGACAATGGTCAAGGGAGTAATTGATTAAATTTTGGTCAATATTCGTCAACCGGAAGTGACTTTGTCGCTCATTGTCTATATTGGCGCAATTTATTTTGATATAAAGACTGAAATGATCTTATGGGTCCCTCGGTAGGTGAGCATCCGGCATAAGTTCGCCAAGTGGTACATCCTATTAATAAAAATAAATAGACAAGAATTTGGGGAATATCAACATTTGTTCAAAGAATTGTGCAATTATCTCCATCGCTTTTTCCCGTATTGAAGAATGCAGCGGGAAACTTTTGATTTTATATATTTTCCACATTCATCTTGCTCGCTGGTCGCGAAGAATATAAGATTTCATTCCCATAGCGACCAGTGTCATTACCTGCCACTCCTGCCAGCGGCCATATACATCCCTGCATGTGTGGTGCTGCGTTCGAAACGATGGTGATAAAGCTTACATGGTAACCTGCTAGACTACCGGCTACCATCCACGCCCAATGTGCGGATATCCGTATGGATTGTTTCATTTTTTGCAAGTAGCAGGTCTACCACGAAAGAGTTGGTGACTGTATCGTCCAAAATTGTTAATGTGTACTTTTCTGGCGCAAAAGTGCAATGTAGGTACCTATGTTTACGTACATTCACAGTTACTTAAGTCGGGAGTTAAAATAATCACATCACAGGAGTTTTATTGACAATTCTGTTTTGCTTAAGTTTTTGTTTCCGATTGAAACTTCTTGTTCCAAGGAGTAGCGTTTATCCCCAATTTTTTTTTTATTAAAAAAGACACTTTCTCCAGCTCTGAGATATCCGAAGATGCAAATTCTTCCATATATACCCAATTTTCAGTAGAGAACATGGACTGTGACTAGAGAATGTGATTTTTTATTTATTGTTTGACTTCCTTCTTAGCTCTCTGAATATAACTCACTAGCCAGCTGCTTGAAATATCTCGCTGTTCTTTATTTTAATCGTACAGGAAAAAGTTATGATTTTGCCGCTGCTCTTGAACCATCAATAAAATATAGTGCGTTAGCACCAAATAAGCACATTAATAATTCATTTAATTAAATCTACTTTTGCATGAATCAGAAACGCATATAAACAAAAATGGTAATACCTCATATGAGTGGAACAAATTGTGAAACAAGCAGAACCGAAACGAACATAAATGAATAATTTAATAATTAAAAAAATATATTTGTTTCAGATAGCGTTTTTGATCGCATTTGGATTTGAGTTATTATGGATTTTGGAATCTGAAGCTGCATTGCCTACCGCAGCAGTTCTCCTATGCGTCGGATATTTTACGCTCGCACTTTTTGCGGCAATTCTTGTGCACGGATTAGCAACGGTAAGATGAGCAAACTACTTAAAATTATCAGTATATCTACCCATCAAAACTAACATAAACTTTAACTTGGCAATGACTTACGTTATCTGCGCTTGGCTGCGCAGTACTTTTAATTTGTAATTTCTTTTCAGAAAAACACAGTATGTCTAGTGGTATGGATGTTTGCTGTAAGCGTTCTGATTTTCCCCGAAGCAGGGATGGTAATTTACATGAGCATTCAATATTGGGTAAAGATTTGACATTTAGTTTATACCATCAACATTTAATTGTGTTTCAGAGGATCGAATCTCAGTACGGCATAACAGAATTAGTGTGCTGGTTTGCACGAATTCTGGCAAATGTGATAGAAATAATTATAATACAATCACTTTACTCGATTTGGAAAGAAGAAGAGTTGGTCACCAAGAGGTTACGTGATCTCAACGTAATGATACCGATACCAAGAGAAACTAGTCTTAATAGTGTAGTACATAATTCCATTCCCGCTTATCAAAATAATGCCTTTGAAGGTTCCATTGAGCAGCTTAATTCTAACATTAAAAGGTATTTGCCTCCCGAAGTGATACATTTTCTTATTTGTAAATTGTAGAATGGGATCAATGCCTCAGTTATGGAATGGTAATATTCCGAATAACTTAGCGTCACTGCCATTTGAAGGGTACCAGTTCTGCACAACTCAAAGTGAGTTCAACGCAAGCATCTTTGTGCCAAATTACGTAAACGAAGACGCTCAACTACCTCCTGGTAAGAACGGCGACTGCCATAAACTATAACCCGATTTTAATTTTTAGCAAAGAAAGCACAATCATTAATGGATCTCCGAACCATTGAGGACAGCTTACCGTTAGGTAACGAAAAATTTAATCAACAGTGGCAGCCTTGGATGTCACAGTCAATTACAGAAACTAGTAGCGTAATTCTACCAAATTATACAAAATCAACGGAAAAACCTCGTATATCAAAATATGCGTCTGTTGATGCGTTAAATGACATAAATCGTAATCACCACATCATTAAAAATCGCACCGGTTTTTATGCGCAACCAATTGCCAATTACGGCGTGCCGATTTATTATGGTCCTTTAGATGGGCCCGATTTCTTAATTTATAAGAAAAAGTTGGATAAGTTAAATAGTAAAAATTCGATTAGCAATACATCAGTGGACGATGTGCAAAAGTATCGCGATGTCGCGTTATAAGTTATTTGTATTTACACAGAAATGTGGTGCTCGCTTAAATAAGTGTGATAAATATTTTGTTAATAACGTATGGGTAAGTTTGTAAATAAATTTTGGGAATTTATTTATTTATGTGACAAACAATAAAATTTGTATAACAACTTTTTTTTAATTAAGGTGACGATGCCCAAGGCGGCGTCATAGGCTGTGGATTCTGTAAGTAAGACATAACGACAGCCGATATGGATAACATGAAGGAACTAAGAATCTGTAATACAAACAATGTCAAGTGCACATCTCTTACTGACGTCCTAATCTAAAATACCTGTTTTGTGTCATCCAATAATCTTGAGTTTGCAAAACTTATACAGGAACAGTATAAAGCTACCCAAGCACACCATTTAAGCCTCATCATAAGGCCGCACATGCTAAATATCATTCCTGAAAGAAAAAACGATTGTTAATTTTATAATTAAAATATTAAAAAATTTAAACGGAAAGACGATAGTGTAGAGAGAGAGAAGATTTTTTTAAACTCGAAAATTTCGAAGTAAACCATTAGAGGTAAAGAAGTATGAATAAATGAACTGAAAAGTGCTGACTGTTATTGATGATTAAAAAAAACAAAAAATGACCAACAAAGAAATAAACAATGGTTGTTCACTGAAATTGATATCACATAGTCATTACAACTAAACTAAAATGGTGTGATACAAAATGCGTACAATTATTGATCCTTTTATAACAGCTTACATTCATGTCATGTATTGTACAAGAAATTTTCTGATTGGACTAGAAACAATAAAATGCTCTATTGAGTTTACTGATTGATTAGGGCTCAGTATAATAATAATAATAATAAAATAATAACAATATTTATTCCATGGACCATGGTAGGTATGGGTTATGTCAAATATATAAATGCAAACAAACATTCAGTATTTTCAAGGAACTCTTTGATATTATTGAAGTAGAAGTAATCTCTTATTAAACTTATGTAGTGGATCACAGCATGAAGTTTGTTTAGGTAATTTCTTAAATATCTTCACATCCAGTACAAAAGGTGTGAGGTCTAGCGAATGTTATATTTAGTGAAGTTTGTCAAAGTTCTCGGATAGGTTTTCGAGAAGAAGCATTCTTATCTGAAAGCAATAGGGACGTATCGTCCGTGTATATTAAGTGGGCTACACCGACAAGGTGAGGAGAAATGTCATTGATAGAAAAGAGAAATAATATGGATCCCAGCTGCGATCCTTGGGGGAACACCAATATCAGTGATTTTTTATCAAACTGAAATATTTGTTTATGTCCATTTGTGGTGTTAGATAGATAAAGATTAGATTATAAATTATGTAGGAAAGAGGATGTCCGACTGAGCGCAACCCCTCTCATGCCATAGTGTTGCAGTTTATTTAAAAGTATGTAAATAAAAGTAAGCTTTGTATCGGGGACATTTTATGACCCATCAATGGAGTCAATTTGAAGTGTAAAGCAAAAAGATGAGGAAATTCAGACCCGAAAACTTTAACGCGAAGACTCAATATAGGCGCCCAAACGTAAGAGACGTATTAGCTTAGCAGAAGTCTGTAAGAAAACCTCGGGAGTGATCCTTCTAGAGCCCTCTACAGTCTACAGTTCAACACAATATAAATCCTTTTCATTAAAAGTCAAAAAACTCAAAGCCAAACTCCCACAATTGGTTTTTTTATTTTAGTTCGCATTCCATGACATTACGTATGTGTGGAATATAATTGGGGGCAAATGCTCGCTGCGGCTCCGCTGTTGGCTGCTCTACCAACCCAACCCACTATAAATTTACAAATTTCCATGCTCGAACGTGGATTCGAACCAGGGATCCTTAGTCCTGCACACACAGGCGAACCATCACCAAACAACATACCAAAGTTTCATGAACTTTTCCATTTTTTGCAAGCTACAACCCCCATATAGACTGGGACTATGCAGTGCATTTTAATCAAGTTGATCGTCTTAAAATTACAGCCCTTCACAGTTGTTGGCACAATGTGCTCACCTCCACTGTAGAGTATTTTCCTTCTCCAACCATTTCACAATTAAAGTATATGATTTATATGTAGTCCCGACTCAGCCCGCCATACTTATTATTAATTCAGTGACGCCACCACCTTTCCCGAATTGAAAAACCCTTTATAAAGAAATTAAAGAATTTTTTATTTTTTGGCCTTTTTATTTTTAAGTGGGCGGGGTTTCAGCCGAGGCTGCTCTACCAACCCAACCCAAAAACAATATAAGTTTTTAATGTTTCGTTCTAGCGACCCTAAATAAAACCCACTCCTTTAACACTCAATTCACTCACAAGTGATAAAAATTTTATTTTAGCACTATCAGAAAGCTGAGAAAAAATGACCCAAGGATTTGTTAAAACCATTTTTCGAAAATGACAATTTTCAGTTTTTTGACCATAACTTTGTTGTTTGTAGAGCTACAAAAAACTCTGAAAGGGAAACTTAATCTACATAAAATTCTGCAATTCTTTGCCCATTTAAGCGACTTTTTATCTTTGACGGTTTACGAGATCCCCGTACTAAACATTGGAAAAAACTCACCCTGTATATAGAGAAGATATAGACTAAAAACTGAAAATAGAAGGTCCGGTGATTTACTACAATAACGATCGTCATTAGTCTGGTGAAATGTTACATATTCAAATTTAAAAAAATTCTGTATAGACTGGGAATCGAACCTGGGCCTTCCATTTTCTACAAATCATATATGACCAGGTGAGATGAATTAGTGTTTTTCACAATAAACAGAAACTAATCTTAACAACTCAACAGATGCTCCCTTCATCCATTCTTTAAATAATTCCGCCAGTCATTGGATTCATTTCCCAATTCTTCTAATAATGTTGTATGGGAAAATGCCTTTTTCTGTAGCAACCACTGGTGGCTCCATTTCCTTCTTGGTCTTCGAGACTATTACAATTTTTTTCGTTAAACAGAGAATATAAACGGACCACAACAGTACTTCCTCCATGACGAAAATCGTTTTAACAAAAATTGCTAAACCATGATCGACAATGAAATTGGAACAAGAAATCGTAGCCGAGATTGTAGCATGTAAACTACGGTTTATAAAGGTGAAGACAAACAAAAACAATTGATTTTAGGACATTTTAGTTACAACATTAATCATTGTCGACGCGCCCTGCTTAAATCATAAACCTCTTTTTTCATGAAGCACTCAAGTTTAGGACGAACTATACTTGCTCCTTTCAATTAAGGAGAACTGGAAGAAAATCCAATATTCTTTTAATAACACTTGATGGTCCAAAAGAAAGATATTTTTTACAATTTCAGAAAATCCGCTAGTTTTATTAAAACAAACGAACTTATCTAAGCAAATATGGCAATCCCAAAACCATACATTGAACATCACATTTCATTTGTTTTTCATTTCCCCTCCTCAAAGTTAACATTGAAAACACTATTTTTCCAGATAGAACCAAAAAATATGGCACCGGAATAGTTTTGAAATTCAACCTACACTGTGCATATAGGATAAGAGAAAATCTATTCTGCAGACACAATCATTAATCCTAATCAATGTGTTTAAAGAGCACTATACAACAACTTTGCAATTTATTTTCACCAAACACTTGGTACACTGCAATGGGTAGACATAAGAAAAATAACTATATTGATAGTTTGCAATGAATAAAAAATATTACAAGTATTTTTAACTGATAAAAATATATATTTCGTATAACCCCCCCTCTACTTTTTGAGATACAAGAAAACTACATTTATTAATTGAGGGTCCATATAGTAATCTAATTGCTTATTATAGATAATAATGATTTGCAAGCAAAAACATATTTGTGCAAGGTATATAGTCAAATTACAAAATATAAAGCTACAATGTGAAACAAACAAAGGAAATATTTCATCATTTCAAGAAGTCATTTCGTACTTCCAGTTTCGTTTGTAGACATTGAGCTACTATTGCTTTAAGCTGGCACATTAAAAAAGCACATTAGATGGTAGTGCGGTACATTGTGTTTAGCCTAACTTAAACCAAACATTGGGCATTCATCACAGCTCTTAGATGCATTAACAACTCTCGTTACTTTGCCAATTTAGACGACGAATTGAATAGAAGAATTACAGTGATATCATCACCCGGAAAAGTATGCTTGTACCTAGAAATTTTATTAACGCACAGTTGATTTTCATATGTATCGTTCTTACAATTTATTTAACGTATAAAACATTCATTTTAATTACACCCTACGTTATCCTTCGTACAATTATAAAAAATAATTATAGATACAAGTAAATCACTTTGAGAAAAACAAAATAAATAAGAGCAAATAATCACAGTTTCAAATAGCACCAAATCCTAAGTTTGGCATTTATTTATATAACGTTTCTTTTATACAATTTGTACATGTTTTCAATGCGAAAAATGTGTAAAGACGTATACTCTCTTTGCAAATAAATAGTGCATAAATAATTGTGCTAAAGCGATCGTAAAATATATTTAAAAAAAAACAATCTTAACACTTAGTGGTGATGATACAAATTTTAACCATTTTGAAACACTTAATCGTAAAAATTAAAAAACAGCATAAAAACACTTATGCATCCAACCTTTGCCGCATACATCTATTGCAAGAACAATCGATCTCCACGATTTAAAAGCAATATGAGAAGGTGCGGTGCATCGTCCCTCTTTGTACCACATCAGCAGTTTTCCCTGTACTAGAAGCTGAGCGATACAAAAGTGTCATTGTTCCAAATAAAACTAAAGTCGATACTGAGTATTGAGATAATCATGGCTGAGGTGACGGTTCGGATGGGCCGCCCGAATTTGGATTAGTCTTTGGAATTTGTGACCTTAGGAAGTTATTTTCGGATTCTAGCTGTTGTATTCGTTCCATCAGTTCGGCAATCTTCTCTTTTAAAACCTCCACTTCTTCCCTAACCGTATACATTAAATGACTTTTCACCAGATCCATCGCCTGCTCTATTTTGTTATCGATGGCGTTCACCACCGGATTCGTTTTGGAAGGATCGTCCGGATTTCCGGGCCCCGACGCCTCCATTGCGGTCTCCGCCCCATCAACGGCGACTACCTGCACTTCGGCCGTTTCGTTGATGGGCATGTTATGTGCATTCGATACAAATTGCGCGGTTGGGTACGGCTCGTTTGTCGGCGGAGCGACCGGTTGCGGATTTTGGGGTACCGGTTGGTAAGTCGTCACGGTTTGTTCGGTCGGTGGTCGCGCGATGGCGTTCTGCTGAGATTCGGGTACCGAAGATTGCGTGTTCGATGTTAGGATTACGTTTTTAGCAACCTGCGTTGGAAGATTACTGGCGGCTATTTGCTGATCGGTGACCGTCTGTGGTGTATACGCGAATCCGTTGACCATCGGTTGTGGTTGAGTCGCCTGTATCGTTTGAGGTTGTGTTATCGGCGGTTGAGTGGAGTAGGTCTGCGCTTGTTGGAAGTTCTGTACGTTTTGCGTTGTAGGCACAAAAGCGCTATTTTGATTGGGGTAGCTCGCCGCTTGGGCAAACTGTAAATTTTGGTAATTCGGCGGCATGACAGGCTGTTGAAAATACTGTTGCTGGGTTGTGTTAATAAATTGCGGCTGTACGGATGTGGGGGCTCCAACTGCCGCTGTGTTTAAAATGGGCTGTTGCGTCGTTTGTTGGTTTTGAACAGGCGGATAAAAATACTGAGCTTGGGGTACTATCTGCGACTGAATATTATTTTGGTAAAACTGTGGTTGAGTCGTCGTAAAAGCTCCCTGCATTAACAACTGCTGAATCTGCTGTGGAGGTAGACTTTGTGTTTGCATGTAAACATTTCCGGCCATTTGTACACTTGTTGTTCCTTGGCTTGTTTTCGTTTGTTGCAAGGAAGTGGCAGATGGCACTTGATCTACATAATCCATACATTTCCACCTTCCCCTTCGGAAGGGTTCTGAACTAGCTATTTTGACCACTTTAAATCTATCGTTTTTACTAGGAGTAGAATGCATGTCTTTGATTTCACTTTCAGTCGTTTTAGCTGTAGATTCTATTATAGAGTCTGTTGCCGGGGTAATTACTTCAGACGGTATATCATTTGAAGACGTAGAAATTATAGCTAAACCATATTGAGGGCTTGTGGGTATCACATTACTTGGATTGCTGACAATTGTAGATATTACATCCTTACTAGATTTTGGTAGACCCTCACCGACTTTCGCCGATTGCGGCTGAGATTGCTGAGATTTTGCCGTAGTACTTTTTATGCGTTCATTAGAGTTGTCGGATTGTACATTTCCCGTGGTCGATTCAGGACCTGGGGAATGCAAAAGATGGTCAGTAACTTAAAGTACAAATGCAGTACCCACTAAGCAACACTCAATATGGTTTTCCGTTTCATAAAAGGAAAGACAGAATAAATGCATATATAAACGCACTTTTCCATTTTCCTTTTAACACCAACTATATCCATATTGATTGATTTTTTTATCAATCCTACTAACCAAACATAACAACACTCAAATTTTAAATACAAAAATATTTTTTCGCTAAATAATCTTCATACACTTTCATCCAAGTTAGTCTGCGCATGCGCAAGCTCAAATTTCATTTGTATAAGCACGCCTACTTTTTGTCATCTTATCAAATACAAAGTAGAAATGCGCCTGCGCAGATACGAAGAGTAAGTGCTAAAATCTTAAAGACTCAGACAGACGACATTTATATAGGTACTGGTTTTATACAAAATATGATTAAAGTACAAGCTACAAACACAATATTGGCGAGGCACAATACAGAAGGGTGTTAAAGTGTGGGTTTCGCTGAACAACGCATATTTCTTGGCCTGGCCAGTTTAATGGATTATTATTAACAGTACTGTGACTAATTTTTGAGATCTCTTCATACTGGGGTGTGTTGTATTTAAAAGGCAAGTCTTACATTTTTCTTACAGGATTATTTTGTATTTCATTTTCTTTTCATGATGTGTGCTAGAATAAATTCTTGTAATTTTTGTTTATGTGTCAATTTGAATCCCAATTTGACATTTTTTATTTTTCTATGTCAGATTTTTCCAATTTCTTTTAATTCAATTTCCGATTTTAATCATTTGAGTGGTGATTGCATTGGAATTTACGAAATATGACTGCGGCCTTAGTCTTTCAAGTTTATAAGAGGATTTTTTCTTGTTGTGTCGGAACCCAGCTAAGGGAGAATTTAAAAAGGAAAAAAACTAAATTGTGTGTGTAGCATACCATTGCATACAGCATTATTTATTTAGCACCCAACCTGGGGCCACAGCATCGTAACTTTATTAAATGTAACTAGGAAATCTGGTGGAATTTATTACAATGAGGTACATAATTGGTAAGTTTAATTTAATTTTAGTGGTAGTTGCACTTATGCTGTAAACAACTTGAAGAATTTAGTAGGTTTAGTAGGTTACAATTCTCTTGAACCGATTGGAACCAAATTTGGTACACATATTCTTAGGCACATAAAGGCAACAATTTTTTAGGATGGAAGCGTAGAATTGATGAAAATATATGAAAACGGAGAAAATGATGGAGTGGAAGCAAGAATTTTCAGCGCATTATTGCAAATTATTTGTAAAAAGGTAGCTTTAACCTCACTTTGGTCGGCTGGCTGGTTGGCTGACAGCAAATCAGGGCCTGTAGAAGCACGTCCGTCGGAAGTGGGTACTGACAAATGGAATGTAGTAGCCCTCGACAAGATTTTATTAATAGTGGAGTCAACTGGCTAATTGAATAGTGATCTGTCACACAAAAATGCGCTTACGTCCCTTTGACCTCACACGAGGAATTTGATAATTGTTTAATCTTAAGCGCACTCCGGGACACGTCGTTCGTAATATTACTGATAACAATTCGGGGGAGCGGGGGAATCAAAGATTTTTTTCGCAAAAAATTCGTGGAAGGCGCACAGACCGAGCAGCAGTGTCGAAATTTGGTAGGGGTGTACGGTTCGACGAGACATCGATGTCACAATGGCAAAGGGTCACCAGAACTCTCAGTTCACAGAGATGGAATTCATTTTATTTTTAGTATTACATTACGCCGCAAAGCTGAAGATATACACGCAAAATACATTTTCGAAAATGTTAGGCAATGAATGAATAGCGCAAGGATGGGCCATCATGCATCGAGCGAAGCAAGCAACGAGACGAGGTAATGCACAGCATCCAAAGCATACACGGTGTTCATTTTTCGAGTGCCACTATGGGGATCTCACTTATCTTAAGAGATAGAAAGTTGGTTAAATGGGGGCAAAGTTGCCAATTTTCGTGCTGAATAGAATCTGAAAAAACATTTCAAATATCTTCAATAGTTTTGAAGATATCTCAAAAAAACAAAAATTTCTGATTTTCGTTTTTATTTTTTTTATGATAAACTAATCGTAGTAGACATTTCTAATTAACACATTATTCGGACACTTTTTAATGGAGATTTCAAATATGGCATCCTGTTTCTAATAACTCTCCAGATGACGGAGAAACACGTGGCAACTTTAATTTTTCTTATGGGCGCCATTTTGAATTTTCATATTTTGAGATTACGTCTTTTTTCTCTTTACAACGATATATCACACGTGGTGGTTCAGTATCACATTTCTCCTAAAAATACAATTTTTAATTTTTTGAGAAGAGTGCTTTGGAAAAACAAAACGTTCTTTAGTTGTGAACAAAAGGTTGACTTATTTCATGTAGTGTCATTTAGTTTTATGCTAGTTGTAATGCGAAAATGCCTTTTTCAAGTGCAGATCAAAGAGATATGATCCAAATTTACACTTCTCATCGAAATGCCCACATCACTGCTGCAACATACTTGCAGCGTTATCCAGAGGGGAACAACCTAGTTTGAGGTATTTTTCTTTGCTGCATTAAAACTTGGGCGAATATGGTTCTTTTAAAAGATGTAGACAGCAATATGGTGATAGACCCAATTAATATGAGCAGGCAATTTTGCAAGCGGTTGAGATGAAAATCGAATTTCTACTTCTCTGACAACGCTGCAACCAGACAGATGGATCAAACTGTCAAACTTTTGTTGACAACAAAAGAACGTTTTGTTTTTCCAAAGCACTCTTCTCAAAAAATGAAAAATTGTATTTTTAGGAAAAATGTGATGCTGAACCACTATGGTTGAGTGCCAGAATTAACCGGTAGATGTAGGGTAACTACCGGTAGAAACTTCGATCGTTCCAGAATTAATCGGTGGGGCACCACCGCATGTTCCACTTTTAACCTACAAACCATTGGTGTATCACCGGTGATCTACCATACGCACCGAATTATTTTGGCGGTTATTAAGCTACCAGTTTGCGCTAACCTTACTTTTTTGACTTATTTGTATAGCGTTATTGCACTTGTCGAAGAATGGAATTGTTGCTGTATACCGTCATAAAAAATAGATGGGTTTTTAAAGATACACATCCAAAGCTAAATGAAAGTGACAGCGATGAAGGTGATGATGACGATGATGTACTTTTATCTTTACTCAGAACAGACGATCATCCAAAGGTGCGACATTATGTAAAATGTGTTGTGCTAAAGTACAATCCTACAGACTTTCGGGCCCATTTTCGTATATCAAGACAATCAGTGGAGGTTTTTAATTAGTACTAGTATTAAGTACAGTATCTATTTATATTGTCATTTTGTAGGAACTAATGCAGTGCCTGGGTACTAAAGACTATTCGTCAGTAGGCAGACCCGCATTGCCTTTATTAGACTCTGTCTTGCTCATGATATGGACCATTAGCAATCAAGAGAGTTTTAGGTCTATTGCGGATAGATTTGGTATTGGAAAAGGTCATGCACATCGTATATTCCTTTTGATGTGCCAGAAAGTACATAAAAAAAGCCATCTCTATATTAAATGGCCCAAAGGAGCAAAAGCTCAAGAAACCGTAACTGAGTTTAGTACATTAAGAGGAGAAAATAGTTTTCCAAGTAAGAGTTGTAACGTTACAGTGTGCAATGGCATTCGAATTATATAGGTACATTTTAGATGTGTTTGGTTGCGTTGATGGCACACACATTCCCATTCCCGGTCCGTTAGCTGACAATTCATATTACAATCGAAAGGGTAGCAAAATTATTTGTAGGTGTAATATAAGGATAGTTTGTAATGTTCAACTTTGTAGGCTTTCATTCCGTGTTACTTCAAGGCATATGTAATGCAAAGCAAGAGTTTATTAATGTGTATTGTGGATGGCCAGGATCTGTGCACGATTCTAAAATGTGGCAAAATTCAAAAGTCTACAAGAAATTGGAAGAAGGTGCAAATGCAATGTTGCTGCCCGGCTGTTACCTGTTAGGAGACACTGCATACCCAATAAAACCATATATGATGGTGCCATTTAAAGACAATGGCACGCTAACATTAAGACAACGTCGATTTAATGCCAAATTAAGCAGTACCCGTGTTGTAATTGAGCAAGCGTATGGAAGACTCAAGTCCCAATTTCGTCGCTTAAAATACTTACCGATGCTACGTATACAGCAAATACCTTACGTAATAACCACAGCCTGCATTTTGCACAACATTGGTGTCAAGGATGATCCTGAATATTGTGGAAACATAGATGAAGAAGAAGGTGATAATAATATTGAGCACTATGATCAAGAAATAGAAGAGAGTGGTTTAGATCTTTGTGGTGTGCGTTTACGCAATCAAATATTAAGTCAAATGAAATTTTAATGTTAATTTGTTAAAAACTAGTTTATATAAAAACGATGTGTAAAATACTCTAAAACTACATAAAAATATTTGAAAATACAAACTAAGTTTCACATTTTGAAGCTAATACTTGTACTAATTTTAGTATGGCATTAATTTCTTTTTCTTTTAATAGTTTTTCCTCCTCCCATTTTTGCTGTTGAAACAACTCCTTTCTTTTGTTTTTCTCATCTTCCATTTCCAATTTCTTTAGTAAATAATCACTTATCTGCATTTTTCGTTTTTTACTCTTTTGAGTATTGACATCTGTACCTGCGGATCCTGCTGATGTGCTGGGAGAAGCAGGTAGCTCTTCGTATGGTTGTGAGTCTGGTTCAATATTTTCTGAATCATCATTCTCCAACGTGTCGTATAGGGAACCTAATAAAATAATGTACAGAGGTGTATAACCATACAATGCTGTTATTACCTTCTGCAGGAGTAATTGCCGCTTTGCAGCCTAAAACATGATCAAAACGCTCAAAGAACTCCCAGGTTATCGCACTTTCTCCAGAAGATTGCTGCTTCTTTTTGTTATTTTTATACGTTTTTAAAAGATTACGATACTTCAAATCGCACTCGTCGCTGGTAACGTTCACTCGAAGTTTTTCATTAATAATTTTTGCAATTTGTTGCCATAACTTCTTTTTTTTGCATGTGGGCCTGTTGAATTCTAATTCCCGAGAGAGCCTAGTTTCTATCAGTAACACTATTGTTTCCTTTTTCCATTGATGAGGCTTTCCTTCCAACGGCTGTGATTCCATTTCCTCAGATTGAGTGTATGGGTTAATACTAGTTTCGTACACTCTCTTAATATAATTGTTCCTCTGTTCCTCATCTAGACATAGTAGAAAAATAATGTGACTACCTAATTTAATTAGTAATGAATTTACCCTGCATTAGTGCTGCGTGTGTTTCAGCGTCGACTGTTATTTCAAACCGAGTATTTAAATATTCGCATTCTAGGTTCATCATTATAATGCAGTAAAAAGGCCGTACGTTCAATCGTTCAATACTTAAAAGTGTGGTTATATTATAACGTTATAAATAGAAATCAACCAGCCTGCTACCACGGCGTTCCAGATTATACAAGAACTAATTCAACCGCTATAATACCTTAAGATTACCGATGACGTCACGGTAAAATGTATCGGTATTTTGTACGGTTAATTCTGGAACTCACCCTATGTGTGATATATCGTTGTAAAGAGAAAAAAAGACGTAATCCCAAAATGTCAAAATTCAATATGGCGCCCATAAGAAAAACTAAAATTGCCACGTGTTTCTCCGTCATCTTGAATGTAATTAAAAACAGGACGCCATATTTGAAATCTCCATCAAAAAGTGTCCGAATAATGTGCTAATTAGATGTGTCTACAACGACTAGTTTATCATAAAAAAATTAAAAACGAAAATCAGAAATTTTCGTTTTTTTGTGATATCTTCAAAAGTATTGAAGATATTTCAAATTTCTTTTCAGATTCTTATTCAGCACGGAAATTTGCAACTTTGCCCCCATTTAACCAACTTTCTATCTCTTAAGATAAGTGAGATCCCCATAGTGGCACTCGAAAAATGGACACCGTGTATATTACCATTGTATTTATACCTTATAAATACAATGATATTACACAACACAGCTGGAAATATTATCACAAAATACCACATTTTCGGCAAATGAATATTCCCCTAAGTTAACGCAGTCGAAAAGCGAAGATTTTTTACCAACCTATACTAAAAAGCTTATCAAGATATTGGTCCATTTTTGAGACGAATCAAATTTCCTTCGCTTTTTTCGTCTTTTAGAACATTTTCAGAAAGATTTAACAAATAATACAAAAATTACACAACGGTTAACCTGATGAGTGAGGGAATCAAGCAATGTCTATACTTGTAATCGTCGCGAACCTTCACTCCACGGTTAAGAAATAAAAGCCGGCTTGTGATTCGAAAACGCAGGTCATAGTATCTAGTTTTACCTTGATAACAAAATTATTTAACGATTTACTGACTTGATACCTACAAAATGCAATAAACCAATACATCCGCAATGTTTATTTTCCTAGTACAGCTGGCAATGTTGACGCGTTTTATACTACACTCGCCTTCCTACTATCAAAGCTAGCTGACCAATAATTTAAACATATAAGGCACTGATCCAGGATCTCAGTCTCCCTAAACAGTGATGCGTTTGAGAATTCTTCATATGAATCTAGCTTTCATTATAGGTTTTTTGAGTTTGAATCAATTCTGTTTAAAACATGTTTTTTGTACACATTAAAACAAACAAAAATATTGGTACAAATAAAAATCGCATAAATGTACAGACATTTTTTTTACAATCCCAGAAGGTAAATACTTACTCGATTTGAATCAGTGAGCGAGTCACCTCTACAGTTTATTTTATAAAATCGTTTCCAAAATAGAGGATTAAATTAAATGCCAAGGTACAATCTTTTACAGGAATTTGCAAGTTGCAACTTCATTGGTGCGAGTGCAGTGAAACACTTTGTAACATTGTGTGTTTAATGTTTGCAAATATTCCTGCAAAATGTAAGGCCCCACTATTTTATTCGCCGCATCGCAATTTTAAAAAACCTAAAACGCTAACTGAAATTAAGTATAAGAAGATATTTAAAAAGGAAAATTTAAATTGCAAAGAACCCAATTAAATTTAATAACTTTTTAAAAAAGCCAACAATGCGACAATGATTAAAATTTCACAAAGTTTGCGGTGTAGGTACACAAAGGTAAGAACAAAATTGCCAAAACAGTGTTTGTACGATCAAATATGTGCTCCTTACAGCCACGCACTGGTTTAGTGTAGCCATACACCATTGAAATACTGTGTGTAGGATAACAAAACATATTAAGTAGTCTGGAATATTCATATACAAATAGCATTCCTTCACATTTTCAAAAACATGGACTTTTGACGAGACTTTTGAGACCAGTCATTTGAATTTAGTATACCTAATTATAATATTGAAATTATTCGGATAATTGAAATGAATGGAATGATTTCAATGCTCTGACACTGTATATCAATCAAGTAATCTCTCCATTCGATTAAACATTTCTACAGATATCATCATGAGTCATGACATTCTGTGACATCTTTCCATCCATCTTCATTCTTCCAAAATAAAAAATAAAATTGCCAAGAGATCTTAAGTGTATACAAAACAATTTGATTGCTTAAAGCCCACTCACCCTGTAAACCACATTCTGTACACAAATTCTAAGAAAGTTTAATTGCAACCACTAAAACCTCATTAGTATCAACAGATACTTCTCTGAAAACAGCTTTAAAATAGAAAGCTTTCAAGACCACAATATCCAAATGGAAAATTGACCAGTTATGTATGCGTACGTGCAAAGAATTTAAAACAATCACTCGAACAATCATAATTGAGTAGGAAAAATTGCAGTGACTGCAAGGGGTTGATTAACAGCTAGCGATTGCCACAAATTACTTACTCCTACACCTTATAAATGCAAACACCCTAAGCAACCACATTTTACTCGCTAATACACTCGTATTGTGTAACTTAATTTCAGCCTACAGGAAACCTCACTCTGATTAGATTATAAACTTTCGAAATAACAAGACGTCAAAGATGTAATGATAAAATTAGGTTAGGTACCTTTTTAACAATGCACGACACGCTTAATAATGGTATTTGTTGCACTCTAAAGCAGTTGAAGGTTAAATATGAATAAGAACTAATTTTTCCCCTCTACTTCAGTGATGTCTCTTACAATAAGTGTTAAAGAATGATTCATTATAATAAAAGTGGACCGGCTTAACTTAAAAAGAGAAGTGCAGTGTATTACTAACACAAAAATTCCAAATGATCATACCCGGTTCACTTTTAACACAGTGACTGAAGCATACTTTCAATAGTTAGTGCATGTATAGTTATTAATAAACTATCAACAAATAAGATAAATTACTTGAAATTCGATATTATGAGTCATGTAGGCTGATACAGGAGCTATAAATAACACAAGGTACAACAATATTATGTATCACTATACACAACTCACCTAAAATATTCATATAATCCGGTGTTAAGTCTTCGCCCGATGTATTACTGCTGCCCGAATTCGCAGGCTTATACCGCTGCACTTTGTCAGGCCTGCGTGGATCCACATTGCCCGGAATCATTGTAAGTTGTTGGTGCCCTTAAACATATTTTTTTCGAATTAATATTTGCTGCTAAATATTGAGAAGTGATAAGCCTATCAAGTGGTTTGTGTTTTTGTTATGTTAACCTATGACCCAATGAGTAATCGTTTACAAGTGAATGGCTTAAGTTTAATTTTACTCATTAAGAGATCTGGGTGATAATTAATAAGAAAAATTAAGACAATTTACTTACAGGGTACAGAAACACTTTAACAATCCACAATGGCCGTTCAATTAAAATGTCAAAAGTGTATGACGTACTGTTCTCCTACAGAGGCAAAAGTTATACAATACCCACGAGTCGGATTATTTGGAAGAAAAAGGGGTTTCTCTAAACGCCAATTCATTTTTGTCTTTCTTTAAAGCAGTGAACGATGAAAGGATTGGCGTTTTTTTAACATTTCAAGCAGTTTTATACGGTTTAAAATTGTTGAACATTTTAAGAAGCGCTCTTTCCACGGAGATTTTATCACCCATCCCGAGGTGACGAGTAACGAAGTGCAGGCAATAATAAGCCTATGTTCCTGTGCAGTGTGTAAGTAGGTAGCAATAATTAGCTTCTGTACACAGCTAAAGGGGTCATCCTCTGTACTTGATTACTTGTGTCTCCTTATTGTATGCTTAAGACTTTAATTTTAAACGTCCACCCTGTCGCGACCGTCCTCGCTTTTCCCGCTCTCCGCCCATGGAAACAGAAATAATCTTCAGAAAAATCTTAGAACCATTTCTTCTTAAAATATTTTAAGACACTTCCTTTTGCACATCGTCTTCCCAGAAGCTATCTTCTAAGGCAGTGGTTCCCAACCTTTTACTAACAACGAACCCCCCCTTTAGATTTTTTTCCTGGCGAACCCCCAACTTATTCTTATTCATAATTTAACATATGTCATACTTCTCTTCTTTGTTTTCATGTCACTAGACTCGCATTTCTTTTTACTAGATTGGGGAAGTGCTACCGCTACGTCACTACTATCCTTTTGTGTGTTACTTCACGATCCGTAACTGATGATGACGCAGAAATGTCAGGCGGTACCTCATGTATCTCCTTACTTTGTCTATCGGTCCTATAATAATACTCTCTGTCTTCAGCCACTGTTCCATAGTTTGCCTTTGAAGTGGTTTTCCTAATCACTTTCACTTTAAGGTTAAGAGTTAAAACTGTCATGAAGTCAACTGAACCTAGCACCGAGTTGAGAAGTGAAAGAAATATATTGTAGCGCGTTTTTCATTCGTTTACACTCGCATTGAGTGCGGCAATCATGCGCAAACGATTTTAATGGATTTAATCATTAGGGCTATACATGATTAAAATATCTAAATTTAGCTTAAGTAAATTTATACCGCCATTATCGTTTTTAGCGCATTTTCTCAGGGGACGTTAGTTATGAACTAATTGCATGAAAATTCATATAGGCATAGCTTAGCCATATAATACGCAATGCCAAAAGTGGGATCGAATCGATTCAAAATTCACAGTGCCCTTTTCGCATCTCGACCATTTATAAACCGAATTGCAAACTTTTTTACTTATAAAAGTATTTGAATGAATTTTGATACATAGGCACTTGGAATAAAGGAAAATCAAACGCCAATTTCAAAATTTGGTTTTGCGCATGCGCAGTGCCAACTTTTTATTTATGGAAGAATTTAAACGAAATTTGATACATAGGCACTTGGGATAAAGGAAAATCAAACGCCAATTTCAAAATTTGGTTTTGCGCATGCGCAGTGCCAACTTTTTTATCTATGGAACCATTTAAGTGAAATTTGATACTTAGGCGCTTGGAACAAAGGAAAATCTAACATTAGTTTTAAAATTTAGGTTTGTGCATGCGCAGTTCCAACTTTCTTATTTAGAAAAGCATTGAAATGAAATTCTTCTCATAAACTGAAATTGAAGTAGCACGTCAAAAATGGATTGCCCATGTGCAACGCTATCTTTCATATTTGTGGCAGGATTTTTACGATTTTAACAGAAGTTGCATCTTACAAATGGGAAATGAATGCAAGTGGAAATGCGCTTTATGTAAATCGTTTACGATTACTTTTTAACTTGTTTGTTCTGCGAACCCCTTGGAAAGCGCGCGCAAACCCGAACCACCGGTTAGGAAACGCTGTTCTAGGGGTCTTCCTTAAAACCGTGCCAAAAACCTACTATACTGTATTCATTTTAAGAAGGTAGTGGTAAAAAACATAGGGAAGATTTGACCTTCAGTGTGATTGGTTAAAACACAAGTCAGTATTACGCTGAAACATAAAACGAGTGACGAATTTTGCAAGCTGGTAGTTTCTGTTGGCATCTAAACTATTGAAGTGTCATTAACTGTTAATGTCAAAGATTGATTTGTGTTTGCAGTGCAAGATATTTCTACTTTACAATAATTTGGTGCCGTTTTATATTTTTCCTGTGTGTGCTTATCTTCAAACCCAGCGCCATTTACTACCTTCTTATAACGAATGAAGTATAGAGACATATTATTTGAAATTCTTGTTAAAAGCTCTTTTGAAATCTTGCTTAGAGCGAAACTATTTCTTCTTGGTAGTTTCCAAGAAATGTTCTTAGGAGGAGAACCTTGTTGGAAACGTTTTTAATCTCAAAGACCTCATTACCTTCTTAGAAGTATGAACCGGAACCCATTGCATTTATACGTTTCTCAAAGCACACTACTTGCATTTTTATCATGTAAGTGCAACACCAACTTGTGGTAGGGCCTGCGGATGCAAAAAGCAGGTGAAATGGCCCATGATTCGCGGTTTTGATTATAAAGTAAACTATACTCAAAGATTTGCGGTATCTGGAACGGAAAAGACCTGCGAAAATGTTAATCAGGTGACACTAGACGAATCTGACTTGGTCTTGCCGCTTGTCGACTGAAGAAGAATCCCACGAATTCAAAGAAACCGATGTTGATCTCGAAATAGGGATAAACATATTCGGCGTTGAAAACATTGAATTGACCGAAACACCCTGTGTATGATACCATCACGAGCTAGAAGTATAAACCTTGAACTTTTGTATGCATTATTATCGTGTATAAAATTTGTTTGACAATCATCTGTTGATTTGACAACTATTGACAGTTGTTTTTATTATTAGAATACTTTTACATAACTTTTTAGTTTCTATCGAACTTCGAAAATGACGACCTACAAGGATAAAATTAACGATAAGTTTAACCAATTCACGTCGATTATGGAAGCGAACACAAGGGGAGTGAAGGTATTGTTAGTACTTCTTCGGCAATCACTTACTTTGGGACTTTACAGATCAGTTGTTACTCCATTGCCTTGCTGGGTTTAACTGTAGCAGTACGACGTGTACGACCGGTAGGTGTAACCTGCTACGATAACTTTGTAAATATTTTATAGTTTAGTAGGTTTAAAAGGCCATCTGATATCCCATCACACTTTATTAAAGAAAGTAGAGAACTCACCGGCACAGTTGAAGGCGTAGACCCTACCAAAGGGTTGTTATTAATCAACCACAAGCCTCTCTTAGAATTACCATTTACGAGTCCAGGTGCACTACCAGTAAAATTGTCGGGGGTTCACGTGAAGGGGCATGGAATTAGTTGGCTGCAAGCGATCGTGCGTGGTTCTCAAGTCAAATTCATTCCAGTTCTCAAAGAGAAAGATTGGGTTCAGTCAGAGGTCTCCCTTGACCAACTTGCTTATGATGTCTGTACTTTACAACAACAAAATTCTGCCACTTACTGTATTTATGTTGTAGAAAAAGTGGAAAACTATTAATGTAGCAGAATCACTAGTGGGCATAGGCTTCGCAGATATGGAAACACCTGCCATAGGTTCAAAAAGGTATTGTCAGCAGTTGCACACTGCAGAAATACAAGCTGAACGTAAAAGATTAGGTTTAAGGTACTATGTAAAACCTACCAGAGAGTTTGTATTAAAGCTAGGTAGAACAATGTATCATTTCTTTGCAAGTAGAACTGCCAAGGTTGTAGCGGTAAGATAAGTTGAAGTTTTGTGCCAATACATGACTTAATTTGTTTAATTACATGTGCTCACACTTAACTAAGTTAGTGCCTTACGTTTTTAAGCTAATTTTGTTGTAGCTTTTCATAATAAATATATTTTGCTATGTTATTTCTCCTTATTTTGGCAAACTGGGTGACTGTATTAACCTTTGACTTTATTTTGTGTCTCTAATTTTTATACCCACCGAAATGTGGAAAAGGATTTATTATGATCTTACAAGGGATGAAACCTCACCTTGGGGTTAAAATGTGGGGTGGGGAACATTTAGTTAGGCAATAACAAATGTGCAACTACGAACTGTTGGTTAACATTCGAAGCAATTATTGGGGTCTATGGTATTTTCTGTCGAAAATCGCGATCGCGCGAGTACTAAAGTTTGCACAAAAAACCTTCGCGCTTGCTATTGTGGGAATTCTTTGTATTTAACACTCCCAACGCTAAATAACGATTTAAAACTGCTAATAAACTTTTATTTTAATAACATTGACAACTTTATTCTGATCGATTTTTTCCCCTATCATTTCGTCGTCCTGGAAACAAGGATAATTAGTAGCAGACTACCTGGTCGCCACACTATCTTATTGTATTCGTTAAACTAAACCCTGTACCGTAGCCTTGAGGGTTATCATACTCTTTAGCTTTGCCGCAAATAATCCCTTAAAATGTCTTGTTTTTTTAAAAGATCTTTCAGGGAAAAGCATTTTGAAGCCACTCTTGAGGGCAATTTTCTTCTCTCAAAGAACCTGTGTCTTACGTATTGGCACAGTATACGTATGTACATGTACACCTACCGTTGCGTCATAGCGTAGGAACTCCACCGCTCCATAGCGTGGACGTAGGTATCACAGCGACCTGATGCCACCTTCACCTAACGACTTCGAAGCGAAGAAATGCCAGAGGAACGCGCTAAAGAATGTTCTTAGACGTAGTCCACTAGACCACTACCACAGCTAATATCTCCTTTACCAGCGACTCCAAAGCGTCTTCAGAAAGAAGAAATACCCTGGAAGCTATGGTGCGGTGAACTACCGTTGCAGTTTCCCCATTCGTTCGTCGTTTCGTCGTTTACGCTTTCCATAATGACTAAATTTCAACCTGTGGCGGATTAAACCCTTTAGAGGCCCTAAGCATAACTCCCTTTTGAGGCCCCTCTCTTAATAAAAATTCAAAATTCTTTAACATTTTTAAATCAATGTGAAATTTAATTTTGATTATGGTATAATCACATATATTGGCCGTTTTATAATGATCAGGTCTGAAAAACTGATGGAATGTCTACTCACACCCATTCAATCATAACCGAGGTCTTACCTTCCCTTCTACTTGGGGGTTGTCGTTGTCGTTTATAAATTCCAGGACGTACAATAAACAATAAACATCAATTTTTCCCAGAGATTTTTTCTTGCTAGTTATTAGTTTTGGAGGCCCCCATCAGACAAGATGAGGCCCCAAGCATGAACTTATTGTGCCTGTGCGGTGATCCGCCTCTGATTTCAACCTTTGTTAATGTTAGTATTAAATTATTCGTTGTTATTAATTAGTGTTACGTCGTTGTTGTGTTCATAAACCCGATAGTAGGGGTTTGTCTTTTTATTGATTGT